TATATACAGAAATGATCTAATGAGCACCGGTGCTCATCTTATCCTAAACACCAATGAGTTGGCACATTAATTCATTGGTGGATTGGAACTCACAAAATCTTTATCCACCAATGAATTAATGTGCCAACTCATCGGTGCTTAGGATAAGATGAGCACCGGTGCTCATTAGATCATTTCTGTATATATATATATATATATCATTTTTGGGTCTAATTTGGTATACTAAACATGCTCACAAAGCATTAGTTGTTAATATGAAAAGTATACATTTTCAACTCTAATATTATACAATTATCCAAGAAGTTCTGTACAATGGGGATTGGTCAGTTCTTGAGATTTGATCTATATTCAAGTAACTTTCATCAGTCAAGATTAGAGGTTTGACAAAGACAGCCGACATTTTTGTGTCAACAAATGCGGAATTCGTCTCCCCTAATGTCTCTCTCCACATATGAATTAAATCCCTTCAGCTAAAAGCCAATTCCATATCCCTACACCACACAGATGAACCAAAATATGTACACTTTCTTGGTATCTTTTGAGCTTTGTATATTATGTATAATTCTTGCAGCAAAGCAGTCGTTTTGTGTTGATAATCGTTATGAAGCATGTGTGCCTCAGAGTTGTGGCAACGGCCCAAATGTAAGTTTCCCATTCTATATCAATGGCAAGCAAGAATCATATTGTGGCTACCCTGGATTTAAGGTCAACTGCACAATCAATGGCTACCCAGTACTTCATTTACAGGAAAATGATTTTATGGTTCGAAACATTTCGTACGAAACCCGTTCTTTGCGAGTATACGATACTGCAGTTTCTAGTTTAAATGGGGGCTGTTTTCCACAGATTAGAAACACAACACTTCCTGAAAAATTCAATTATTTTAAGGTTTCGAAACTGTATTTGTTATCAAATTGTAGAGGAAATCTGTCTGAGGATCTTTCTAGATACAGAATTGGTTGTGGTAATCAGAGCAGAGATAGTTGGGGTTTGGCAGTGTTTGAGGGTAATGAGATCTTGAAAAATGCATTAGGGACTTGTGAACAAAACGTGGTAGCGCCGGTGGAATTGCACGGCGGTGAAGAGAGGGATGGAACAAGAAACTATATGGAGATTTTGAGAAGGGGGTTTGTGCTGAATTGGACAGCTAGTGATTGTAATACATGTGCAGTAAGTGGAGGGCGTTGTGGATTTAATGAATCTGTTTACCAGTTCAAGTGTTTCTGCCCAGATAGACCTCATTCTTCAAGTTGCAAACCTGGTAAGATAATTTGATTACTTTTCTTTGTACAAATGCATTTTGATAGATGTTGGAATGAGCTCATCTCATAATATAAAGCGATTTTATCATAATTCTATGGTTACACGAATACACGAGACTAAATTATTGAGAAATCAGATTATCAAGAATTAGGCAATTCTCGACAGGGGGCAAAGTCATGACTTGATTGCCTACTGCATTCTTGTTTGTGTCATCAACTGAAATATAAAAATTGGAGCTATATATGATATCTTCTTTTATTAATTGAATTAGAACTTGTGTTTGAGTTATAAGTAATCAATGCAGGAACAAAAATCCCCTTTAGAGTACATTAATTGCTCCTCAGAGATCCTAATTATGTGTCCACTCATCAAAAGGGAGACAGGAACTGGAACTACATAAAGTTGTACAAACAAATTCCATTATTGAGCCTTGAGGATAGTACTACGATACATCTAGTACTGGTATCCAATGAAACTCCCGTTCATCTAGTATCCAATTCCAATCGTGCATATCACACTTGATAACTTCATGAATGATATAATCTCTTGTAGCGTGAACTAAATCTTCTCGTATTGACACATAAAAACCAACCACATTTTTTCTCTCAAATATTCTCAATAAGACAAATTGCACAGGTTTGTGGACAGTTTCGCAATCTGAAAATCTGAACTAATAGTAGGATTTACGAAAATGTCTCATATTTCAAGCAGTACCCCCCCCCCCCCCCCCCCCCCCCCCCCCCCCCCCCCCCCCCCCCCCACCCACCCCCCCACCCCCCCCCCCCCCCCCCCCCCCCCTCNCCCCCCCCCCCCCCCCCCCGGTGTTGAACCACTTCACGTGTAGCTTATCCACTAAGGGTCATTTATTTATCTAAATTTAAACTTAAAACTTGGTGCATTTACATTCATAACAAATTTATCTTTTCATGAATAGCCTGGCCTGTGCACAATTTTCATTAGGATGGTGGAGAGGTTCGATTTCGAGATCTAGATAGCTTTGATATCATGTTGAACCAATTCATTTAAAAGCTTAAGCTCTTAAAGAGCGGTGCAGACCTTGATAGTATATGATCTTCCTTTTCCGTTCTTCAGCATCTTCTCACTAGAAAACGATTTGGCTTACTTTCTACAAAAACCAGTCAAGGTCACACACAAAGCTTTCTCTAAAAACTACATGACATAAATAAAAAACTAGGGATGAGATATCCTTTTCCAGAGCTCAACTGTATCCTATAGAACACAACTGTGCAGATATCCCAATATCGGATTTTGTATTAAGTTAAAATCTGGCCTTGCGGCTTAGAAATGTCACCTCTACAACACTGATTCAAGCTGCCAAGAAGTTTGTATTTGTCACTGCGCTAATCTACAAATGATTTTTCTTCTTAGAAATCAGTACTCTACTTCCCTAAACTATGATATTTTCCCATATAGGATTTAGATTTTTAGATGTTTTCATTCTTAATCAAGATTATTGTGCACACGGGGCATTAGATAGGGATTCCCTTTTTTCTCAGTATTTGAGTCTGATCTGACATTTGTTCTCATGATTATAATTACAGAAATTAGTAAGACGAGGTCGAAGCGAAGGCTGAGGCTGATTTTAGCCACAGGTAAATACCCTAATACAACACACATTTCATGCGCACTAGTCAATTGTCACACTTCAAACAGTTCATAGGACCTTGGATTCTTCTTTACATAATCACTACCCATTTTTTATATTTCAATTCCCTGCGTAGTCACTCTTCACCATTCACGTTCAATTTTTGTTCATCATACCTTAATTCTCAGTTTAATTATTTTCAGCTCTACCTGGAGGTGTAATCATACTTCTCATGTTCTCTTTCATCATTTGGCGCCTTAAAAGGACTTATGATACTTTACTTTTAAGAAACATATCTTCTGATCCCTCCACAAAATCAACCATTGAAGGCGGGAATTTATGCTTTGGCATCCCTATCTTCTCCTACACTGAGCTTAAAGAGGCCACCAACAATTTTGATTCTTTAAAAGAACTTGGAGATGGAGGTTTTGGCACTGTATACTATGGTAAGAAACTCATATTCAATAGCTAGTCGACAGACTGGAAACTATTTAGTAATGGCAAATCTCCTTTCTTATGTAATTAGGCAAACTTCATGATGGAAGAGAAGTTGCAATAAAGCGCTTATATGAGCATAACTACAAACGAGTCGAGCAGTTCATGAATGAAATTAAAATTCTTACTTGTTTGAGGCACCGTAATCTCGTTTCTCTCTATGGATGCACATCCACAAGAAGCCGCGAACTCCTACTTGTTTATGAATACATTCCTAATGGCACAGTTGCCGATCATCTTTATGGGGACACAGCTAAGGAAGCACCACTCAAGTGGCCAATTCGCTTGAACATTGCCATAGAAACTGCTCAAGCATTGGCTTATTTACACGCGTCTGATATAATACATCGTGATGTTAAGACGACCAACATCCTTCTTGATGACAATTTTCGTGTCAAAGTTGCCGATTTTGGGCTCTCTAGACTCTCTCCTACCGATGCCGCTCATATTTCCACTGCCCCTCAGGGGACTCCAGGATATGTTGATCCTGAATACCACGAATCTTACCAGCTAACCAATAAAAGTGATGTTTACAGTTTTGGAGTTGTTCTTATCGCGCTCTTGACTGGACAAAAACCAATATCTTTTGATAGAANTTTTGGAGTTGTTCTCATCGAGCTTATTTCCTCAATGCCGGCTGTTGATATAAGCAGGAGTAGGCATGAAATCAACTTGGCTAATTTAGCACTAAACAAGATCCAACGAAGGGCGTTTAATGAATTACTTGATCCATCTCTCGGATTTGAGTTTGATGCTGAAGTTAGAAGGATGACTACATCAACAGCAGAGTTAGCTTTTCAGTGCCTGCAACTTGAAAAAGAAATGAGACCTAAAATGGACGAGGTACTGCATATTCTGGAGGAAATTCGGGGTGGGGAGGAGTTCGATGTTGAGAAGACCATAGAGAATAATGATAACTATAGTGTGTCAAGAAGTGTAAAAATTCCTCCTTCCCCAGAATCAGAAGGTGCTATATTGTTGAAGAATAAGAAGTTTCAAGCATCACCAAATTCTGTGACTGATACATGGTTTAGTGCCTCTTCTGGAAATAGTTCCAGTTGTTGATATTTTATTTGACTTCGGTTTTTTTTTCATAGATGTGGATGATAAATAGTTACCCCCCCCCCCCCCCCCC